AAGTACTGCTTTATAACGTCATCAAAGTAAACATTTATTCAAAAGGGATTGGATCATGATTTTAAAAAGCTTTTAATCAAATCTACTCTAAGCAGTACTCCTCTCATTTAAGCTATCTGTGTGACAAATACAGGCCTTTTAATAAGGATTCTAAAAGCCTAAATCTTTGTTCAGATGTTACTGCTTGTGTACTCCTCTGTGTAACTGGTGTTAGAGGGAGAATGGAAAGTGGAAAGAAGTGCACATTTCCTCTCAGCTGGCATTACATGCAACGTCTCCTGCTCAGGTCTGCTCTGTCTTTAGCAGAAAGGGTCAAGCAAGCGCTGCCCTTATTCTGTTACCCAAAAGCTACATAACTGTGTTAGCACAGTGTTGCACCCAAGCTTATTTATCCTGTCTCTCAGCAGAATTTAAAGCTCAGGCTTTGCATTATCAAGAAATTAATGACTTGTCTCAGAGCATTAGCAGAAGAAGCTTGTCTCTGTATGCAAAATACCATGCAAATAACCCCTCAGAACGAGTGGCTGCAAGTGCAATCAGTGATCTGTATTATCAGGTAAAACTCCTGCTTGTAACAGCAAGCTTATTTTTTGAAAGCTGGGACCTGTTCTGTGGTGATTAAAAATATCTCGCTTTCTCAGAGAAAAATGTTGGTACTTAGTTATAAAAGTCTTGCTCGAATACATTTTATGCAAACACATCTTTTCTTCTATTTGCTTTCTTTTTATAAGCTGCCTATAACCTGGTATGTCCCCAATTTGTCTGAAAGGTCTCTTTGAGTGCAGAGTGGCAGAAACTGCAATCCAGCATTCTCAGAGGAGCCCTTCGAGAACTAGTGCTTTGGGTCCTTTCAGGCACCAAAGATTCTTTGACCGAGTAGATCAATCACTAAAGACACACAGCCTGACCATCAAATCAGCTCTACGTGTGCAGAGACCACACAGTATCTCCAATATGCAGGCTAAGAGATCCACAAATCTTCTAAATCTTGTAAAAGAGAAGGGCGTTACAGTAAGTATTGGGTCCCAGCTGGTTTTTAGCTATTAGGATGTATTTATGTATGTCATGTGTTATTAGAATACAGTGAGAACATAGTCTCAGTTGATCTCTTTCTAAAAGGTCTTTTTAAAATTATGCATACATAGCATAATGGATATGCATAAATAGAAACATAAGGTTTCCACTTAGGAATCAGTGCTTTACAGGAACAAGGTACTTCTGGTATTATTACTTAGCATTTTGATAGAGTTTTTCATTTTAGATCCTTTCTAACCAATCCTTTCAGACAGCTCTGCAAGGCAGGAAAGAATTATTCCATCTTTAAAGAGACTGAAAGCAAGACAGAGAAAGGCTAGCTGGCCAGCCCAATGCCACAGGGAGAGCGCATGGCAGGGCTGGGATGGGACCAAGCCAGTCCTCTACCTGCTAGATAATACCGTTCATACATCTCCCACCTACTTTGATTCTGTCTTTGATTTTTCCATCTATAAGTTGTTAAACACAACAAGCCACCCAGGAGGTGCAGTTTTTGCAAAGAAATAGGAATACACTGAAGAACAAAGATACTTACTGCCTCTGCGAAGCCATACAGATCCAGTTGTTAAGAAAAATCAGTCTAGATGCTACATGAGACTGACAGGAATAGTCAGAATAAGAAGGAAGAGAGTGGGCGTTATCTGAAGGTCCAGAGGTGTTTCCCAGCTTGTGACATTAGAAATACCCTGAGGAAAGAACTGGAAGGAGCTGTTTGTCTTGTCTAACATCAAGAACATGCTTATTGTGGCTGGGAGTAGAAGAAGGGAGAATTCACTCTTGACAGCAAAATAATTTGGGGAAGCTTGTTCTAGCCCCAATCAGCTCTAGCAATGTAAACTGAAATGTATGTCAAAATTTTGGTGATTAAGTATAGGATGTTTCCTTGCCACTTCCCTCATAGAAGGCCTTGCGAGGAGTACAGAAGAAGTAAATGTTGTGCAATGATTGTGAAGAGAAGCCTTGTGAATGCTCCTTCATCTCTTTACACAGCAGAGTGCATTTACAACTGCAAATTAGGAACACTGCTCAGCACTAAAATGCAGCTATTTCGAAGAAAACACAAGCACTGCTTGACTGTGGGTAGAAATCTTATGCAATAGGAAGTGAAGAGTTAGTGCACCTGCACAGAACTTCAGGATGATTTTGCATTTGGTCAGAGGGAGGCAGATATCCCTCTTTCTAATGAAATGTGATAAGGAATCTTTAATACAATTTGTGGTCGGGACCTGTATTTTCCATCTAATCCAGAAGCTGACACAAAGAATAGGCAGTTTTAAGCACTGTCTCAGCACTGGAACAACTGGATTAGCAATGCCTACTGACCTGAAAAGAACTCCTCTTAAAATATTTGGATTTTTCAGGCACCTCTTTGTTGATTAAGCCTAATCTTTTATATGGGTTTTAGCATCAGACCCAGCCTTTTCATGGATGGCAAGTGACACTATATTATTCATGTGGCAGTATGGCTTCCAGAGCTCAGGAATGGCATTACAGGACTTAAGCTATTCCAGTTTTGTAGGTTTACAGTTTGCATTAGAAAAACATATTGATGAGACTAAGGGTTTAGGGTTTTTTTGCCTTGTTTTGTTTTTTTGTCTTAGAAATCAATCCTTAAGAGTGCATCTGAATTAAAACGGAAAGAGATGGATTTTAATGAAGTCAAGATGGAGCACAAAAGGCACCAAGAGGAACAGAGGCAGCTGAAGAGGGAGCAGCAGCAAAAGGCAGATGGTGTCCGACGCCAGCTGCTCAGGGACAACCAGAGGTAATGATGTGGGAGGGAGAGCAAAGAAGAACTTGAGAAGCAGATGGAAGGTTTTAGCAAAATCTAGAAGCTAACTGGTTCCTTGTAGCAAATATCAGATGGTTGATAATGTCTGCTCCCTAGTGCTCTTAGTCTCTAAATGTCACACATTGTGCCTTATGCTGGTGCATGTCTGTGCATGATGGTCTTAGTGATTCACTAGTGGAAGAAAAATCATGTAAATTATTTAAAAAAAAAAAAAAAAAGGTGGGGGGAGAGGGAGTAACACGCAGGCCTAAGGTATGGGTGAGTGGGTATGCACGGTCCCATAGCCTTTTGCGTTAGTTCCAAGGGCAAATTCTCTTCAGTCTCATCCTCAGCCCCAGAGTCCTTTTGCCTCCAAACCCCCATTCCCTGACCACAGCCCCACAGTCCCTTTATGCTTAGCCCATCCTTGCCCCTGTGACCCACCTCCTTCCACCTCTCCTATGCCTCCGCTATCGAGACAGTCCTGCGTCCACAATCCGTTCCCCTCCTTCCTGGTCTTCAGGACCAAGAACACATGGCCGCACCAGGCTGTGTAGTCAGATAAACAGACAACTGCAGGTAGCTGGCAACCCATTTTTTATTTTGGCCAACTCTGTTCAGGACACAGGTTTAACATTCATAACCTAACAAAGCATCCTGGAATATTAGCTGACCCCAGATTGTCAGAATGCCAGAATGTCTGACTGATGCACAGTTTGTTTGGGGTTTTTTCTCTTCTCTTTCCTTCTGAGAAATTTGAGCAATTTTACTTTGGAAATAGGCAGCGATTGCTTCAGAGAACATTGCAAGTGTTGGAGAAACAGCAAGAGCAAAAAGACAGAGCTTCCCAGCGCATGGCACTGCTCCAAGCTGCCATGGCAGAGAGAAGCAGGAAGGAATCGTCCTTGCTAGAGGAGGAGAAGAGAAAGGCAAGTCAGAGGCTACAGTTCTTAAAGACACAGCGTTCGGAGAGAGAGGCATTTTTCGCAGAACACAATGAAAGCAACTTTGAACACGAGAAAGAGAGACTGGTATGGGCTCTTTCACAAATGCCTTTCCTGGACCACTGTGTTTTCAGCAGTGGTACCACCTAGAATATTTATTTTTCACTTGTTTTCCATCCAATATAATTATCATTTGGAGATGCAGGCAAAAAAAGGGCGACTTTTTTAAACACGTGTAAAATTGGGAAGGAAAATTCCCCATCTCTATGGCAGAAGTCGTCTTTCTGTATGCAAGGGATGAATTTCCACAGTTGAAGCCCATGTGGGGAACTACCTATCAACTGTATACAACAAGCTGGTTAGGGCAAATTCACTATTATACCTAATTCTAAGTTTTGTCAGTAATAGTTGTAGATTAAATTCAGCATGAAAGCTGGCTGTACAATAGTAAATGTCTTTTCTTTCATTATTTTTATGTAGGATTTGCTCAGAAGCAGAATACAGTCACGGCAAGAAATGTGGGAACAAGAATCACAGGAGCAGGACAGGCAGCAAAAGCAGCACCAGGCTGCGAAAAGGAGAGCGTTCCAGAACAGAGACCGTTCCCACCAGAAGATGGAAGAGGAAGGCAAAAAACACTGTGACCGCCAGCAATACCTCAGAGACCAGAATCTTTTGACGCTCTGGGCATCACTACTAGAGTGAAGAAGCTGCAGTGTGGGTAAGCAGGTCCTTGAGCATTTCACAAACCTGCTCTGCATCTCTTGTAGGTGTGAGTCAGTGTGCTGGAGCTCAGGAAACAGTGCAGTTGTAACAAGCAGAACTACATTTCCTGCAGACATCTTATATCTTTCTTTTTTTTGCAGCCAGAGGGCATTTTCACTACTCTGTCCTTTGCAAACCTTCCTCTCTGTAGGTACTATTCTAGCCCACCTGTTCAGTGTGTACACCCCCCCCCCCCATTATGTATTGAGTGACCAAACTGACAGACCCAACTCTGCAAAGCTGGGCTAAGCTGGTATCTAATGTAACTATAGGGGCTGCCTTTAGGGCAGGAACTGAACCCTATCTGGAGGGGCCTAGCTTTCTCCATAGGACTCCAAGGAGTCAGCATCTGTAGTACTGGGTTCAGTACAGGTTTGAGCCTGGTCAAAGAAAACATCATGGGGGCACTGCAGAGGGGAACAGAAGAGGGGCTGAGAGTTAGAGAAGCAATTCAAAGAGACAGCACAAGGTCTAGAGGCTGGCAAACAGACATCAGGCTATAGCTGATTTCAAGCTGCAGGTGACAGAGATGAATTAGTTAGGTGAGGGCCTTCCACTGTCAGGGCCCACTCCTTGGAGTGTGCAGGCTGCTCCCCTAGAAGACGAATGACTTAGCTCCAAAATGCAAAAAGGAAGATGTTTTCTGGTGAAAAGCACTGTGATGAAGAAAATATCTGTACTTCTCTGAAATGTCTCTGGAGAGTCACTGAATCCAAGGGTGGGCTTGGGAGTCTGATCTGTTTTACCTTTTGCCCTGCTTGAAGGCTTGTCTACAAAAGCAGGAAGTTTTACGGTGGGGAGAGTCAGGAAGGTACTGAAATAGCTTTGCAAGTAGAGTGCCTGTTCAGAGTAAATAGGTTTGGCTTGCACCATGAATAAGCGAGCAGACTGCTACTAAGACAAATAATTTGGTAAACTGAAAGGTAAGTGAACAAATTTTACCACAAACTGTGGTAGCCAGTAGCAGTAGCCAAGAGAGGAGACAGGTTCCCCATTCAGGCTACAGTTACCAGCTGGCATCCAGGATGCAACGTGCTGCCCTGATTGTGTAGGTGCATCACTCACTCTTCTTAGTGAAGCATGCAGTTATCAGCCACTCCCGCAGACAAGCTCCCCCCCCCCCCCGGAAACAATAAGACTCACCAAGAGCCAGCTTTATACAAGAGAAAAGAAGAGGAAAAGCTTTTGAATGTGTTGTACTCTAGTAGAGGCAACTTCATTCACAAAGGAGGGAGGTTATGGATGTCACATCCTCAAGTGCTGTCCTTCCTCATATCATCAGCAATATAAAGTATAGCAGCTGTGTCACAGAGAATGCTATCATCAGCTTTGGGTAGCCAAAACATAACTGTTCCATTTGCATGTTATTTTCACAGGGGTAGTTAGGAAATGAGAATAGACACGGCACATTTGATGGACCACTTGGAGCTGTATCAAAGGGCATTCTTAGTTCCTACAGCAGTATGCTAAGATTTATATAAGGCTTATTTGAGATGCCTTGTTTTAAGTAATGCCCAGAACCAAACAATACAAAAATTAAAATGCTGTTGCCTGACATTTTGTGTATGCTTAGAAACATATAATGCTATTTTAGAACATCACTTACCAAAGAGCATGGGTATTACTAAAGATAAAAAAATTGCACCTCTTACAGGACCACAGCAACAGAGATGCCAGCAGTTTCTAAATAAAACTAAAAAAAACTTAGTTAAACTTTTTGAAATTCCATCTAATCTTTTTAATGGCCACCAGCACTCTCTTTGCATTAAGTTTCAGACTATATGTTCCTGCAGAGATAACTGGGACATTATGCCTCCAGATTTCCCCAAAATGAAAGTTAAAGCTAGATGGTACATCCAGATGTTTACAATGTATTCTAAGGTCTTACTGGAGTATTCTTAACTTTAGGATCCATGATATACATGAACTATCCTGAAACTTTTTTTTGTTTTTAAGGAAAAAAAGGAAGGGTTGGGGGCTTTTTTGGAAATGACGTTCTGAAAAATTCTAATGGGCTGTATATTTGCAAACTACATGCAAAGCAGAGTTTTGCCTTTAGATGCTGCAGTTTCTCCTCTTACTTAACCTCCGTTTATCCTCTGGATGAACGTGGCCAAAATTTGCTCAGCAAGAACATGGGTGGCTATGCCTGACACTGGCTTAACTAACGAGCTCAGCACAGGCTGCACGTGCCAGAAACCTGCGCCTAATGCCTTTGCTGGCAGCACTACAGCTAACCTGTACCAGCCAGGTGGAAATGAGCCAGGAGAGGGGCATGAATACAGCTGGGTGAAAGCAGGTGCTGGAACACATGGAGATTTTCTTTAATGTAAAGTTGGAGCAGGGAGAAATGGTTTCTTCATGAAGAGAGTTGCCTTATACTCAAAATCATGTGCAAGTTAGGACAATTGTGTAGCTAGTGATGAGTTTAAGTCTGCCTTGACTTTATTCACAAAAACAAGCCTGAAACTTAAAAGATGCTGTTGAACTCTACTGCTGTTTCTCATTCTCAAACATTTGGACATAAGAGTATGTAATGATTAGAGAAGAGTACACAAAATACAGAGCAGAACTTTAAACTTATTTTTCAGACTTCATTTATATCATTAACTTAACTTTATAATCACTATATCCATGTAAGTAGTTTCTCTTCCTTGCTTAACCATCTGAAAATATACTACTACAGAGCCCTTGTGTCACAAGTTCAGGAAAAATATACCTGGAAATATATTTAGAATTAAAATATTTCCCATCATTCACTGACTGTTTCCTGCTATTAAAATCATTTTATAACTTTATTTTAAGAATACTGTGAAAATGCCTGTAAAAGGCATACATGATCTAGCTCATTTGTTGGCTTTATCATAATAAAATAGTTAACATTCATATGTTTTCCATCTATTAGTGAAAATGCATAGACTCCTTGTTTTGTAGACTAGCAGAGACAGAAAACAAGCATTTGCATGGTAGTGTGAGGATTTGAGTTGACTTTGGATTGGAGCGAAAGTGGAATAAAGAGAAGAGGAAAGGGTTTTGTTTTGTTTTGTTTTTTTTAAAAACTTCAACAAAAACTAAGGCCAGTAGAAATATTGCAAGTTGATTTTATTATGGAATTAGGTTTTCTGTTAAAACAAATTTTTTCTTTTACTGCTTATAAGACAAACTCCTATAGTATTGTGCTAAGAGTATGGAAGTCTGAAAATGAAATTGGCTGGCCTGTTTTTATCATCCAAAATGACTAAGAACAGATCTGTGGGAACATAGTGGGATCTCGGGACACATCTACAGTAAAAGTAGAAATTAAATTACAAAAGACAGAAAAAGGTACATTGGCTTTTACAGCCTGTTCACATTTCATAGTCTGAAGATCTGCATTACTTGCTTAGGTGGTATCAGAGTATCACTTCTTATACAGTAGCAGATCATTCAGTAAATTAACTTAAAATATTTAACCTGATTGTTCTGAAAAAACAGACTTGCTCACTGAGTACCTTTTTAGACTTTTAAATAAGTTTTAAAGATAAGTTTGTTTGTTTTTTTTTTTAAAAAAGACATTCAGATGAGTAAGCCTGCTTTCTTCGTCAGACTGCAGTGATCTTGTGCACCTAAAGTATCCGATACTGCCAGTTAAAGAACTACCAGAGCATGTTATCTCATAGAACTGTGCAATCGTAAGGGAGGCAGAACTCTCCATCTCTGCAAAAATCTTCCTGGCTTTTGGAACAGACCTCCCTTACATGAGCAAAGGCTGAGAGCTGGGACTGCTCAGTCTGGAGAAGAAAAGGCTGAGGGGGGAATCTTATCAATGCATTTAAATATCTGAAGGGAGGGTATAAAGAGGATGGAGGGGGCCATCCTCTTTTTTCTAGCGGCACCCAGTGACAGGACAAGAGGCAATGGGCACAAACCGAAACACAGGAAGTTCCATCTGAACATAACGAAAAGCTTTTTTGCTGGGAGGGTGGTCAAACCCTGGAACAGGTTGCCTAGAGCAGTTGTGAAGTCTCTACCCTTGGAGTTATTCAAAAGCTGTCTAGATAGGGTCCTGGGCAACCTGCTCTAGACTGAGCGAGGCAGTTGAACTAGACGATCTTTAAAAGAGCCCTTCCATCCTCAACCATTCAGTGTGCAATTCTGTGATCATCCCATGTTTGCTGCTTGCATGATATGACTGAAAGCAACATTAACGGTGAATATCCACTGCATGGCATTGAGAGGCTCATGACTATTCTCACCTTCAGCTTCTTCCTCCACCAGCTCACAGAGAGCAGAGGTAACCCTGCACAGTGAGAAGGCAGCAACTGCAAGAGTCTATTCAAGGACAGAAGCTGCAGTTTTGATGAGCAGTGGCTTAGCTGCCTGCAGGATGTCTAGTTCAGGGTCCAGTGAACGACCAAGCCCTTCCAGGACCATGATGGCAAAGATGATGGAAGCAAAGTTGCTCTCGAGCTTCACCTAGAACCACAAGAGACTGAATGGACTCCGTGGACCGAAGCCCTTTTTTCTTCTCAACCCATTCCACAGAGGAACCAGCTCTGGATAAGCAGGGAGTAAAGGAAACAGGTTGGGGAGTGAAAACATCAAGCCCATCTGAAACCATACTGCAACTCTGTCACCTGGAGTTTCAGTACATACTAAAATCCAGCAGCAGGTCCAAAAAGAAGCAGACAGTTTTAGAGGGAGTAGCCTAAGGGAACCCAAGAGTTCATGTTTTTCAATTCCAAGTAGGGGAATGGGATTTTTTCCTTCATACTGGAATAGCAGGAGCTAAGAATGGTCACCATTGCTAAGGCAGTTATAAGCTGCAGTAGTATCCATTGTACTCAAGTGCATTCTGAATGGCACAAAAGAGCTCCACAGACCACAGAGAAACAGCTTGCATGTGAACAAACTACTGCCCAATTCCCAGCCAGGCACTAGAATTGTTTCAAGGCATACAAGGGCATTAATGAGTCCTGGATTTGGGAGCAGGACTTGCTTCATGACAGCTTAAATGGCACTTGATGTTACTGGATACCAGCTTAATGAATTTTAACAAGTTTAAGGGGGCCCTTTGCAGGCTGGCCAGTCCTACAGCTGATCTAAACAATCCTCATCTCTTCTGGTTCAGGCCACCATAGCTCTGTTGATTTCCAAGACTGCTTGCAACACTGGAAGCCTGTCCCCCAAAAAGTATTAACTATAAAAAGAAGAATCTCTTCTCTGTGGAAAAACTCACTCTCAAGGTCTATAACAAACCAATAAAAGGGCCTAGTGCTGTTATATAACCACATATTAAGGAAGAAATAAGTTCAGGGAAGAAGCCTGCAATGACAAACAAATAGAAACATACACAAGATTTCACTTTCTGCTCCTAAGAGACTATAAAACAGAAAAAAAACAAGTGTGAGAGCACTCTCCTTTTAGTGTGTAATACTAACAATTAAATGCAGTATTGCAGACAAAACTCAACAAAATGGAAACTGGTCTTGGTAGGATGTGTGTTAAGCCCTGAGAAACAGCATGCCTGAAACACTTGGAGGCATTCTTGCAGTCCCCCTCCTAGCAGCTCATTTCAAAAGTCATAGTCCCCCTACTTGTCAACCCTTCACCATCCATCCCTGTAGTTCTCCCTCCCCAAATGAGCTTCCAGGTGTTGAAGGCAGGCAGTGACTAGACCTCACCTTATGGGTCATCAATAACTTAAAGACATTCGAGAGGAGATTTGCCACTTGAAGCTGGAATACAAAAGGAGAAGTTAATTCTGCTGATTAGAGAGGGAAGAGAAACAAAAAACATACAAACCTATGGTCAGCACATGCATGAAAGGCAGGATAAGAATTAAAATTCTGAGTGTTAGAATTTTGTCCTGGTGGTGGGACAAGATTACTGGGCTGACAATAGCCAACATCAAGGTGTGACCCATGCTGGGAAAAGGAGTTCAGCTATGACCCAGCACATACGCATTCTCCTGCTTACTCACCAGCCCAAGAAGGTAGAGAACATTTGACCTCACAGCTGTAGAGAATATTCATTAGTTTGCTCAGTACCACCATACTGCATTCTCTAAAGTGCCCAGACTAATAGGATGCAAGCTCTAATATCACGTTTAGCAACACCTCACAGGGGCCTGGCAGACTGTAGGTTAAATAATAAAAAATAAAACTACTTTTGTAATTAAAAGGAAACAAGAGAAGATATTAAGGACTTTCCTCCATCGGAGAGACTAAAAACTAAGTAGTGGGCAGTGCTGATGGGATCAGAGCTGGCCTTTGCACCCAGACCACTCTGAAAGCAAAGCTGCGCTGAGTTAAAGGTAAGTGAGGGTGAGACACTGTTTGTGCACTTACCTTTCCCAGGGCAATGGTGTTCCCCCGGGCCTTGGTCACTAGCTCTGCCATCTCAGCTTTGAATCGCTCAATATCCTGGCACTGGTTAGCACGGGCATGATGAAGGATGAGTTCTGCCACTCTCTCCCCCTGAAGAACAAGTTGAAAAGAAAAACCGGCAGAACTGGTACCAGCTGGCCTACAGGGAGCTGTACACCACCATCCCTGGAAGGTCTCTGCTGCAAAGGTTCCTGGAAGGAATTCCCAGGGCCATGCTCTCCTTTTCCAGTAGTTTTTGGACTAACAAGGACCCAAAGGATTAACAGAAGCAGGTACAGAAAGAGCAGAACTGGTCCAACAGGCTTAGCTGGTATCTCACAAAACCCTGCTTTATTTTTCTTGCAGGGGAGATGCAACACAGGTCATTGGTCAGCCAGTGAGGAGAAATTTCAAGGGGAAAAACAAGCCACAGGACTAATATCAGAGGAGATAAAGTTGTAAAGAAGGGCACCTATTAAACTCTCCTATGGGACCTTTATTTCCAAACTGTGGAAGAAGAGGGAGCTGATTCTGTGCCAACATATGCTTGGACAGAAAAGGAAGAAGGGGAAAGA